TTTAGTGCTCGTTCTGGTAGATTATCCCCAATCAACTGAAGCAGACATTGCATTTGCTCCTGCAGGTGAAGCATTAGCTCTCACAACTGATACGTCGCTGTGACAGCAAACGTTTCGCTGTGGTAGCCAAAAAACTTGCTTGTCACGATATTAGCAAACACAAAAGCGAAGGCAGCTAACATTTAGTTGGCTTAACTTACATATTTTTTTCCGTGTAGGGTCTAAAGTAAAATAATTATGCCAAATTCTATCTGCCAAACCGAGACTGCACAGCAGGGCGTGTTTAATTTTCTGGGTGCGTCGCGTGCTAACTGTATCACTTGTTAATTTTTTTAAAAGATAAAATAAAGACGTGTTGTTTGCTAAGAAAACTTTTCGGCTGCATACGCACCTACGTAGAAGGTGCCTCGACCTCGCCCGACCCGCCTACCGCGCCCAGTCCCCCGGGCTCCCAGCATATGCGAGTGTGCGTCAGCAGGCCGGGCTGTGCCGGGGCCGGGGCGAGGAGAGGCAGGCAAAGTCGGGCGATGCGAGCGGACGAATTGCAATGCGAATTTTTCTGCTCGGCTTCGCAAACGGCGGCAAAGGCGAAAGGAAAGAGACGGTTAAACCTGCCTTTTCAAAAGCAGCGCAGCTGGCACCCCTCCCTACCCAACATCCACCCCCCACCCCACCCACCTCTTGTTTCTCTCCTCTCACCGTGAACCCCTCCCCCTGCAGCTGTTCCCTCTCGCCCTCTCGTCTGCCTCTCTTTGGGTCCGGAAGCCTCTCTCCGCAGAGAAAATGAGCAATACGGGTTGTTTGCCTCGACTGTTTGAGCAGGGCAAGTCTAATAGCGGGGGCGGGCGCGGGAGCCTTTACCATGAGAGCCACGATGCACGACAATGCACCCCCCCTTTCTCTCTCTCCCTCTCCCCCCCCCCTCTCTCTCTCTCTCGCTCTCTCCTAGACTTCCATCCACTCACAGTAACACAGCTACTCCTCATGATGCAAGAAGCGGACCCGCTTGCATGCAGGACATCCCATTCTCTCACTCTTTCTTTCTCTCTCACTTGCAGACCCGTACAAGTTGCGTACCCACACACATACATCCCCCCCCCCACACACACACTGATATGGCGTGGTTGTGGTTCTGGTCCTGCTGAGCAGGCCTTGGCTGCGACAACGCCACCGCCTCCGCAGCTGCCGCAGCTGTTGTTGTTTGTCATGCAGCTGGAAGATATCAGCTGAGACTGTGCAGAACTCAAAACCGCGGCGCAGCCAGCTTCACGAACCGAAATCATGCACGATAAAGGCGTTATCGAACGCTATCCTCATGTTTGCATCCGTCGTAGGTTCATCATCTACATATTACGAGGTGGCCGATTCACAAAACCGCGCATTTTGGAGGTACTGTACCGCATCCATGCTTGCACGTGTCTTTTTTAGCTACCCGGTTTTCTCTCGTTTTCAGCAGTGAGCCACGGTGGCCATACGAGCACCACAAAAGTTTGGACAGGACAGAGTGCTCCACCGCGCCGCGCTAGCGATGAGTGCCGTCTGCCGAGAGTCAGAGAGGGGCTTTTATGCGACGAGGTGCACGGTCGCGGTCGCGGTCTATGCGACCTGGCTGCGGCGTGCGGCAGCGACAGCGGGGATGTTGCTCTCTCTCTCTCTCT